GAGAGAGAGAGAGGTTTCAAAGGCAACTAAGAATAGAATAAAAATTCAAGTAAAAATTAAGAATTTAGTGATTCATAAATTTTATTAAATCTCAAATGATTAAAAATTTAAAAAAAAAAAATTTATTTATTTTCTTTTTCTCATGTTATCAAGAAAAAAATAAATAAATAAAGAAAGAAAGTATAAGAATTTATGGCTTTATAAGTTTCATTAAATCTCGAAAGACACATTTTAAAGAAAAAAGATAGTTCTTTTCTTTTTCTTCTTTTTATCTTTTTTATTTTATTCCTTGATTTCATAAAAATGAGGAATTTAAGAAAAATTAAGGAAAGAAGGAAAGAAAGAAAATATAAGAATTTAGGGCTTCAAAAGGTTTTTTTCAAATCTCAAAAGATAAATTTTAAAAAAAAAAATCCTTTTTCTCTATTTTATCTTTTTTAGTTCATTCTTTGATTTCATAAAAATTGGAAATTTAAGTAAAACTAATAAAAGAAAGAAAGGAAGTATAAGAATTTAAAGTTTTTCAAGTTTACGAATGTATATAAAGTTTTTCACAAGTAAATAAGCTGCAAGTACGCACAACCCATAAAATAAGAAACATGCAACGAAAACATAGAAAGCAAGCAAAAAATGAAAGAAAGGAGAAAGATTACAAATAAGGAAGAAAATTATAAAAAATATTTAAAAAAATAAAAATAATAATAATAATTAACATAAGAACCAAATCAACGAAAATATATAATCACGTTATCAGCTCACACAATTGTATCCGCTAAAATAGTGATTTATTAATCCAGGCGAAGCCAAATACATTACTAAAATAGAGTGAGGAGCAGCAAAGCATAAGAAGCTGATTTGCAAACAAAGTTTTATCAATACATAATTGCATAAACGCTTCTTTAAAATTATTTTTCTTAAATAAAATAAATAATATGAGTATGTCGAGCGAATAATGGTGGAATAGCCCCTATTTCTACTTTTTTAAAGAAAAAAAAAGTAGTTCTTGCATTTAAACCAAAATTTACATGTTTAAACCATTTATTAC